TAGAAAAACATTTTAATAGGGAAAATTAATGCAAATGTTAGGGGAGTAGTGAACTTTTCAAAGGAAAAATAGAAATAGATGGTGAGCGTGCCTGCTCCTATGACTGACACCTTGTTTCAGATGGTCACAGCTGATGCACAGAGGCCCTTTCCAGGCGCAGTTTCAGGTTGCCGTTGGGCAGCAGGTCCTGGCGTAACGTCCTTTCCTTCACTGTACTTCCTTTTTGTTTGTTTTTCTTTTCGAGACAGAGTCTCACTGTGTTGCCTGGGCTAGAGTGCCGTGGCGTCAGCCTAGCTCACAGCAACCTCCAACTCCTGGGCTCAAGCGATCCTCCTGCCTCAGCCTCCCGAGTAGCTGGGACTACAGGCATGCACCACCATGCCCGGCTAATTTAGTTGTCCAGCTAATTTCATTCTATTTTTAGTAGAGACGAGGTCTCGCTCTTGCCCAGGCTGGTCTCGAACTCCTGAGCTCAAATGATCCTCCCCCCTCGGCCTCCCAGAGTGCTGGGATTACACAATGCCCGGCCTGCACTTTCATCACAACTTTAACGAGAACAAAACATTGACTCCCGGCCAGGGCCACTGTCTGTGGAGTTTTCATGTTTCCCTCGAGTCCGTGTGGCTTTCCTCTGGCTCCTCTGGTTTCCTGCCACATCCCGAAGCTGTGCGCCGGTGTCGAAGCGGCACGTGTGCCCTGTCCCGAGGTGAGCCAGCGCGTGCGTGAGCGTGCTGTCCGCAGAGTGGCATCCTGCCCAGGGCTGGGGCCCCCCTTTGCGTCCCAAGCCACCTGCAACCCCGAACTGGCATAACTGGGCAAGTCATTATCTTACTCATGTTTATTAATCTTTCTTAAACGTACGTACACGTCACACGTGTTTCCATGTCTAGTATTAGACGTGTTCTGGTCTTAATTTAGAAGTTCCGCAGGCCCAGGAGAGAGGCCTGTGCCCGCCCTGAAGTTTTGTGATGTTTTTGTGACCACAAATGCGCGGCGCGAGTTTAACTCTTGTTTATACCAATTAGCCTGTGGGAGAACTGGTTTTGTTGTGTGTTGTTTCCCTTAAAGTTGCAGTTCCCGGAACCTGTAGATGGCTGTGAGTGAGGACCCACTGCAGTAGCGACAGCTGCTGGCTCCTCGCGAGGGCGCAGGAGCACCAAGAAGGGAAGGACGGAGTCTGTTTTCCCGGCATCGCAGACCACTTTGGTAGCTTCCTTTATTGTTGTTGTTGTTCTTCTTATCTATAGATTTTTGGCTTTACCTTCACATCTTGACAATTATAAAATAATTTTGAAAAGAACGTACCAAACACTTAGTCTTTGCAAGGTGCCGTTTCCAGCTGACAAGGACCATGGCGGAAAAGGGAAGACATTAAGGTCTCTTATTTTGCACTTGTCAGCTCTGTTTATTCGATGTAAACGTTTCCTCCTCAGTATTTACTTCCACAGGAGAAGATGTGAAGATCGAATGAGATAGCATAGGTCTACAAATACCTGTTCTTTATGAGACTCTATTGTCAGATTTAATTGCAAACAGCTGTTAACAGCTCGGAGGACCTTGAATCGCTCAAGGTTGGGGTTGCATCGTTTTCATTTTTGTCTAGAACAAGTGACCAGCCATCAGCGGGTGTTGCTACAGCTATATTTGCTCAACTAAATGATAATTACAAATGTTACATAAAACAGATCATATTCTCCTAGATATATTTATATGTACAATAACTAAAATTTACGTAGCTCATAAGATTGGCGAGAATAGGAAAAAAATGTTTTTCAAAAACTGATGGGAAAAATATTATTTTAGAAACATTGAATTAGTTAATAATGTATAATTTAGTCACTTTATTCCCATACTTGGTAAAAAATGTAAATAGGTGTCAGAGGCTTAAAATGAATTTAAGAATATAAAAGGCAAAAAAACCTTACTAAGCAAATGGGAAAAAGTGATTAAAACTGCCTCTTAAAGTTTAAAGTTACAGGTTGGTAGCACAGAGGTATAAATGTATAATTTAGGGATTCAAGATTTTTATTTTCAACCAATTTTCTTCAAAAAAACTTTTTGTTAAAATCTGAATGTAAACAATGTCAACAACTGAATAGAAATAATTAAGATGAATTATAAAATGTCTTTTATTCCTTTGGGTAGATGCCCATGAATTAGAATATTTTCTTCTCGTTGCAAATAACAAAAATGCATATAATGTTACAAAACCATCAGCAATTTCATCCAAAATTACCAAAATGCCCATAAATTATATTAAAAAAACTGATGGAAGTGATTAGGTCTATGCAAAGATTTAAGGCTCAGACACAGGAAAACTGCCGACATATGAAAATCCACTGGCTGAGAAAAACTCATGTAAAATCAAGTAAATACAACACAACGTCATTTCTGCGCATTTCATTTTGACTACATTTTTAACCAGCTTCCCTGAAGGTTGTGAATGTCCCTCTGTGTCTCCCGCAGTAACGAGTACCATTAAGGATTTGGTAAATACCTATTGAATTGACTTGAACTCTACTTTTAATTCTCTTTAATTCTTTCTTGAGCGATTTGCACTGTTTCCCATAGATGCTTCAAGAAAGAAATTCTTATTTAGGTGCTGGGAATTCTGCACCCAGTGCAGACATTTGGGGCTGTGAAAGGATTTCTTGAAAGGAACTCCAGGCACAGTTGTTTCCTCTCATGGCAGGTTTCCATCAGACCTCTGAAGCCAAGTCTGTCTGAAGCCTAGGCTGCCATTCTAATTATGCACACGAAGATTCCCTGCGTGACATTTTTAATTTGGCAAGTACTTATGATCTCAATTCGGTGACCTAATTGGGCTATCGCATTGAACCTTTAAGCCACCTGTGT